TGTTCATGTTGTTGAGTTGGATGTTGCTGCTTTGATTTCTCTCTTGAGCCATTGTAATATCTGGCCTTTAATCTTTGGGTTTTGGTTGTTTTTATATTTGTGAGTTTTTATTATTTTTTTCTTAGAAGGGCCTCTTTAGTTGATATTTTGGTCAGTCTGATGACTGCATGTCGTGACGTCTTCCTGTTTGCATTGAACTCCCAGGGGTCCTCTGAGCTTCTTGAACTTGTATATCGAGATTTTTAGCAAGGCCTGGGAAATTTTCCTCTATTATATCTTCAAATAGCTTGCCCAACCCTTGAGAGTTGTCTTCTTCCCCTTCTGGTAACCCTATGACCCTCACATTAGGATTCTTCACATAATCCCACACCTCTAGTAGGCTTTGCTCTTTTCTCTTGTTTCTCTGCTCTATCTCTGTGACTGTTTTATTTAGTTGGAGGGTGTTATCTTCAATCTCTGAGATTCTTTCTTTTGTTTGATCCACCCTGTTCTTGAGACTTTCCACTGTATTTTGTACTTCCCTGAATCTATTCTTCATTTCCAGAAGTTTGGTTAAACTTTTCTTCATTGTGTCTATTTCTTTAGTGAACTTTTGTTCTAGGTCCTGGAGGCTTTTTGTGGTTTCTTTATGTTGGTTATTGAGTTGTTCTTGCAGGTCGGTGAGTGTTCTCATGATCCACATACGAAATTCCTCTTCTGTCATTTTGGTTGCCTGATTTGGGTTGGTGTCCGTTTCTAGGGGGCTGGTGCTCCTCTTTGGGGGTGTGTTTTCCATTTGGTTCTTCATATTTCCAGAGTTCCTTCACTGATTTCTTTCCATGTCAATCAGTTGTTGTTTCTTTTCTTTAGGTTTTTGTTTGGGTATTCACACGCCTTGTTTAGTTTCTGAGCCGGTAGGTGGTGTCTGTGGGTGAGATTCAACCACTCCCTGTATAATGAGTCAGTAGGTGCCATGAAAAGGCTGTGCAAGATGCCCTCCCTGTCAGTAGGTGGTGCTTGCTTGGAGGAACAGGCTACGCTGTTGTTTTTGTGTCCTGTTATCAGCTCTTGTTCCTGTAGGGAGGCACTCTATTGCCTCAGGTGGTCGGTGGGGCCCTGGGACTTCCAGGTGCGTCCTTTTCTCCCCTTCAGTGAGGGCAGAGATTCTGGGTGGAGCTGGGTTGGGTAAGCCTGCCCTCAGGCACCACCAATGGCATTAGCAGGGGTCAATGTTCTGTTCTCTGCTTCCAAGAAAAGCTGTCAGGCAGGGGCTGGAATCGCCCCGCTCAGCCAGAAAATCTGCGTGTGGGGATGGGGCTATCTGAGACCCACAGTCTGGAGCGGGCCTCATTTCTTTCCACCGTCCCCCACTCTGCAGCTACTCCTGGGCCTCTGCCAGCAGGCCAGACCACACGCTACCAGGCATCCCTGGACTGTGATGCAGGCCGGGAGTTTCCCTGTGCAGGAATGACACCCAGGCTGGGCGTAAGGTCTCCTTTTGGGAGGAGGGTTGCCCTCTAGGATGCTGATCTGCCCTTGAGGGCACACACACTTCAGTAGGCTGTTTATGTATATCCCTTCTGTGCCCCAGGCAATGCGAGACCTGGTCTGACCTCTGGGTCCCAGAGTTCAAACTAAATCCCCACCAGGGAGAGGAGTGCTGGTTCCAATTCACCCACAGGAAGCCCAAGCTGAGTCTATGTCTCTCAGCCTCAGAGTCTGCCCCGTTCTCCTGGGATCACCAGGCCAGCAGCACCTTGGAGGGCTGGCGGGTAGGGAGCTCACAGTCTGAGTTCCCCTTAGTCAGCTGTAGGGTCCCAAAAGGGAAGGTCCCGTTCCTTGAAGGTGTCTCCGTCTGGTGGCTATATTGTCTCTCTGGGCAGCCGAGGGTAGGGTTGGGGAAGGGGAGGAGGAGACAATATGGCACCTGCCACGCCGCTCCGGTCTGTGCACACGGAGGTGCCCCGAGGGAATTGGGAGCCTGGTGCCGCGTCTGCTACAGGCTTACCACTCGCTGGCAGCGGCCGTCTCTGGGCTGGTGTCCGCAGGTCTCTCCACGCGCTGAGGAGCCCACTAGCAGTCCCACATGCAGGGGAAGGGAAAGGTGACTGATCCACCTACCCTTTCTGCTGGTCTCCCGGCTGCTCCGGCGGTCTCAGCTTCCAGGTCTCGTCTGCAACCTCCTCCCGTGGAGTCTCCCGTGGTCTCAGGTACCCTCCTTCCGGCCCTCGTCCGCTGTATGCTCGTCTTCTTGCTTCTTTTTTCTAGTTTCTGATAGAATCTGTCTTTTCTGCAGAGACACTCTGTCTGGCGGTGTTTCTCGTCCGCCATCTTGATCCTCCCCTTGCTTATTTTTCTAGTTCATTTTTTCCCGGGAATAAAGTGTCAGAAAACAGTTTCTCAAAATTTTCCTGCATCAGACAATATAACCCAGTGAACTCAATGAAGTTTAGCTGATTGCACCTTTAAGAAAAGGAACTGAATTCTATTAACAGTCGTATTTAAAATCACTATACATATTGTTTTATGGCCTAGACATTTCTCTGAAACTCTTTCAAAAGCACTTGAAAGAACTAAACAATAAGAGGTATTATGTGTCTGGGAAAAAGGGAAGTAAAACATTAACCCGATTACCACAGCATCATTTATGTTTTTATTAAATTTAATATATTTATCTTTTTATTGCCTTTATCTTGAACTTTTAAATTTTTTTCTTCATTGTTTTAATCTGTCGCCATGGTCCGGCAGTCAGAATCATTTATGTTTTGAGTAAGAAAATGCGTTGGAGGCATCGTGCACAGTGTCTGCGGTTGAAGCAGCTGGAAATGGTCCTATGGGGGTGGGGCAGGCAGTGAGGTTTGCAGTCTGATGTCCTTCCCCCTGTGTTCTGACCTGGGCTGGGTCACTCCCTCCCCCTCCCAACCTGGGGCTCAAAGGCCTGGGGCTGAGATAAGGGATGAGATAAGGGTGAGATAAGCTTTCTGGCCAGACAGGATCAGGCGTCTCAGAGTCCAAGGTTCCTCCTGCTCCTTTGTCACTCTGAGCTGCCTGCAGCTGGGGGCTGGGCTGGTGGGCGGGTGGGGCGTCCCGGGCGGCCCCTTGCTCCCCTGGGAGGCTACTGGGTTAATGTGACTAGTTGGGAGGGCTCCCGTCTTTATTTCTGCCTGTAGCTGAGCAAACAAAGTGGCATAAATATAATTTGTGTGGGCCAGTTCCTGACGCGTAGTAGGAGTTCAGTGCAATTTGTTTTCTTCTTCCTGTCATTTCATAAAGTTTCCCTGCTGTGTCCAGGCCTTGGGAAGGCTCCGTGGGGCAGGGGTTGGCGCTGGCAGCGGGGGTGGTGGAGGCTGTCCCTACTGTCAGTGGGACATTCCACGGGGCGTTTCGGGGGACTGGTACCCTCTTGCTGCCTGCCTGTGCTGTTTCCTTCCCGGCAGCGCCTGGTGTTCAGAGGGCAGGGCGGACGCCGCCCAGGCTGCGTTCCAGAGCTTTCCCTTTCAGATGCTGGAAGGAGCCAGACGGGGCTGGCTATCCGCTGGGGGCACACAGTGGGGGTCCAGGGCTGTGCTGCTTCTCTGCTCTTCTGGGAAGCCGCTGCCCCTCAGAGGTGAGGAGTCCTGGGCCCCGCTGGAGCCGGAAGCCAGGCGGGGCTGTGAGCGCAGCCCTCCTCAGGTGCAGACTCAGGGCAGGAGCGGGGCTGTGACGGCTCCTGGCTTGGACGCTCTCAAGTGCTGCCTTTGGAGATGCTTTAGGAAGTGGCGGCCTTTCAAACTGGGAACAGAGAAAAGCAGGTAAGTTGCCTGTAAAGCCACCTGTGGGCCAGGGGCAGATAGCCAGGGAGCCGCCGGCTGTAGGAGGAGGCTGGGAATGTGGTGGGGGGCGGGGGGAGGTGGTGGCTGGAGAATATTCTTGCTTTAGGAGACCCAGAGAGCTTAGTGAGGCTGCGCCTCACTTTATCTTACTGATATTTCTGTAGGGCTAGGTAATGGCATTACCAGGACTAGGCCCTGTTCTATTCATTATGACCCTGGGAGGGAGATGCTCTTACTGTCCCCATTCTGCACAGGTGAGGAAACTGACGCACAGAAGGTCAAGACACTTACCCAAGGTGGTCACGGAGGGCCTGGCGAGCGCCGGGGAGCCAGGCGTCAGCCCCTGGAGCCTGGGCCTTCCTGGACCACAGGCTGCCTCTTCCCTCTCCCTAACAGGAGCTGGTTTAGGCACCTTTACTCTGCCCAGGGCTCCTTTGTGTCCTGCGCTGTTCTGTATCCCGCCCCAGTACTTCGCCTCTGGGGCAGAGACCTTCCTCAGAGAGATGGCCAGGTGGGAATGTCCCTGGGGAGTTGCGGGACACCTGCTGAATGAAGGTCCACTTCGTGGCCCGAAAGAGGAGGACTGTGGTGGGATCAAGGTTACGTCACCAAACAAGCAAAGGAAGCAGGGCTGGCTGCTCCGCAGCTGGACGGGCATCCCACCGAGGATGGCGTCTGGCTGTGACTTCTCAGGTGACACCCTGGTCACCATGGGGGCTGACAGCACAGCCAGCAAGCGGGCGCTGGCATGTCCTCCGTGGCTGGGGCCTGAGTCTGGGCCCCGTGTCCGGGGATGGGGATCACCGTGTTGTTGAACGGTGGGAGGTGAAGGCACGCTTTCCCCCAGGGGACCCAGGCGCCAAGAAAGGGCTTTGCCGTGGCTGTGGCTGGGGCCGGAAGGGAAGCCAAACCTGACAGTTCCCTAACTCACAGAGTCTTCTGGAAGGGCTGGGAGGCGGCCAGCGTGTCTTTGCCGCTATCAAAGTGCGCCCACTGCCTCCTCCGTGGTGGCCAGTAGGAAATGCCTCGCCGCCGTGGGGGTTGGCACAGGCCTGGGCCGCGTCTCCCCTCTGAGGCTCCAGGGCGCTGGGCCGGCCCTGCCTCCCGCCCCATCTCTCTCCCCAGCTCGGAGGAGATGGAGAATTGCTCCAGCCACCTTCTGCTCTGCCGTCTGGCCTCCCTGCTTCTCGTCCTCCAGCTGCCCACCTGGGCGTCCGCAGGTGAGTGTGCCCATCCCCCTCCCGGTCCGCCTGGGGGCTCCCGCCTGGATGGGAGGCCCCGGGAGCACCCGGCCTAGCAAGATCGCTGCTCCACAGCCGCTGATCGGAAGTTAAATTTTAAGAGTCATTAAACCTTAAAATTGCCATGAGGGATCTTGACAATTGTCCAATGATGACTTCTTTTATGTTTTAAAAAGCCAAATATGAAAAACTTAAAAATACCTCTTCCCATCAGCTTTGGTTTTCCTGCTTTCCTGGTGTTTGAAGCATTCGATCCTTCATTCATTTAGTGTCCTGATAGCGAAGGGCTGCCCACTATGTGTTAGGGGCTGTTCCAGCAACAAAGCAGGCGGAGACCCCTTCTCAGTGGAGCCCCGGCCTGGCGGGGGCAGGGCATCCTGCAAGGGACAACCCAGTGGGAGTCTGTGCGAGAGGACGAGTGTGATGAGAGATGAAGGAGGGTGGGTGTGGGCAGGCCGCAGGGCTCAGCGAGGGTCAGTGGGCGGTGAGGCGGGGACCAGGGCCTGGGGGAGTGGGGGTGGGCCGTGGGGTCTCTGGGAAAGCCGGGTCCCTTGCGGGGAGCAGCGGCACGCAGCTGGCAGCGGCCGGGGTTGAGGAACGCGGGGCGAGCACCGCTGGAGCCAGCGAGGGGCAGACAAGCAGGGCTTGGGACAGAGAAGGACTTGGGGTCACCCCGTCAGGCCTGTGGGGCACTGCGGGGAACTGGGGAGCCGTGGAGGGCTTTGAGCAGAGTAGGGGCACGGTTAGGGGGTCGCCGACAGGCGCCTGGGGAGAGGACACTTATGGGGAGACTGGTCCACCGGGGAGACTGTGGTGGCCCTGGCCGGGGTGGGCAGCGCAGGGAGGAGAGGTGGCTCTGTGGAGGCCCGCCGTGACTTGCGCTGCGGAAGAGTCGTGCTGTGCAGGCCCGCCGGGCCGCGGAGGGCCAGGCGCCGCGGGAGCCCTGGCGAGCTTCCTTCATCACGCAGTGAGGACTTAACACGCGGCCCCCTTGAGGCGTGAGGGCGGGTTTGGAGCGGAAGCAGCACTGACCCTAGGTTGTCAGCGCACATGGATTCGGCGGAGGAAAACATGGGCAGAAACATTAAACTTAGGAAGGGAGCGGGACGTCCTGGGCGCGGCTGAGTGGTCGGTTCTGGCGCAGGCCGCGCGCGCTCTTCCGTCAGTTTTCAGGCTTGTCCCGAGCCAGGTTAGAGCTGGGGTCCCTGGGCCGACAGTCTCCGCGGCCCGGGCAGCTCCCTAGCGGGGCTGAGCCAGGGGCTGTGGGGTGGGGCTCAGCCACCCGTGTTTCCCCAGCCCTCCGGGGCTCCGGCGCCTGCGCCCACTGCGAGTCCCCGAGGGGCAGAGTCCTCCCTGGACGGGGCTGGGGCCAGCAGCACGGCTGGCGGGGGCGGCCCCTTGCCTTGTCTCTGGGCCACGTCCCTGGCTGCAGCTTCGGCCAGATTCAGCGATTACTGCTCGAATCACCGGCTCAGGGTGGCCCCTCCGCACTGGCGGCCTGAGCCCCGCTTTCTCTCTCCGCGTCGGGGTCCACAGACGAGTTCCTGGTGATTGGACCGTGGGAGCCCGTCGTGGCGGTGCTGGGTGGCGACGCCACGCTGCCCTGCTCGCTCTCCCCGGCCTCGAGTGCGGAGGACATGGAGCTGCGCTGGTTCCGCGGCAGGTTCTCGGACGCGGTGTTGGTCTACCGCAACCGCCGCGAGCAGAGCGCGGAGCTGATGGCCCAGTACGCAGGGCGGACCTCGCTGGTGACGGGCGGCCTCGCCCGCGGGGAGGCTGCGGTGCGCATCCGCCACGTCCGCGCTTCTGACCACGGAATGTACACCTGCTTCTTCAGAAAGGGAGCCTTCTACCAGGATGCCACTTTGGAACTGAAGGTGGCAGGTTGGTGACTTGATCTGTGTTCTAGAGTCCTGGAGTGTCGGAGTGGGCGGGACCTCAGGGACCTCATTTTGAATAGTCCCTCGTTTTATAGATAAGTAGAAGGACACTCATTCACTCATTTATTTATTCAGTACAAATAAATTCAACACAAATAAATAAATTCAATGCAAATAAATAAATACATACAAATATATAGAGTCCCTGAAATGTACCAGGCCTGGAGAGCAGATCTGGGGACACATAGAGTTTGGAGGGGCAAGGGGGGACTTCATAGAGTCCCAGGGGGTTGTTTTGACCACTTGTTTAGTGGTAGAAAGATTGCTAATTATGCATCAGTTTCCTGTTGCTGTGAAATGAACAGTCACAAAATCTCCGTGGCATATAGGAATAAACATTTGATTTAGGCATGAACTAATTCATTTGATTTAGGCATCAACCAATCTGGACTGGCCTTGGCTAATCTAGCTGGGCTTACTCGTGTAGCTTTGGTCCGCTGAAGAGGTCGCCATGTGGAGCATGGCCGGGTTTGTTTACATACCGGTGGTCAGTTGGATGTTGGCTAATGTACGACAGGTTCAGCTGGAAAGGCTGGGATGGCCAGGCCATGTTCCGTGAGTCCCATCCTCCAGTGGCCAGCCCAAGCTTGTCCTTCCCGTGGGATCAGCAGAGGGCAAGCCCTGGTGCCAGGGCCTTTCCAACCTCTACGTGAGTCACCCTTGCGAACCTCCCATTGGCCAAATCAAGTCACATGACTGAGCCCGACCCAGAGTGTGAAGCCACTAAGAAGGACGTGGCACAGGGTGAGCTGGGCATAAAGAAAGGTGAAGAAGATTGGATATTTTTGTATCAACGTACCAGATATGGGACAGAATTATGAACTCAGGTCTGGAATTTGAGTTTGAAGTGCATGGGAGGCATCGTGGCAGAGGCACGCCACAGAGATGCAGTTGTAAGGGAAGGAAGTTCTGTTGGGGGTTGTCAAGCTATGCAGGATTGGAGGTGGTTCACAGAGAGAGGCAGAGGCCATGCAAAACAGTGTCCCGGGGGAGTGTGTGAGGTGGGGAGAGTGCAGGTGAAGGTGGGACCCGGGACCAAATTCCTCCTCTTCCTCTGAGCCTTTCTCCCTGTTGGCGGCAGAGAACAGCCGACTGGCTTTGTGCTCCTTCCCTCTGTTCCCTGTGGCAGGGCCACTGCGTCACCCTTCCCGGGGGCATCCTTCCCACAGGACCCCAGAATGCAACACGACTGGCTCCCTTGGACTTGGGCGACACCTGGGCACTGCTGGTCCCGGTCCCGGTCCCACATGACTTCCCTCTCGCAGGCGTGGGCTCTGCCCCCCACGTGCGCATCGAGGGGCCAGAGGATGGCGGGGTCCGCGTGCTGTGCACGGCCTCGGGCTGGTTCCCGAAGCCTCAGGTGCAGTGGAGGGACGTCAGCGGAGAGAGGTTCCTGGGCTTCTCCGAGGCCCACGCCCAGGACGCCGAGGAGCTGTTCAGTGTGGAGGCGGCGCTGGTGGTGAGAGACAGCTCTGTGGGGAACGTGACCTGCTCCGTCCTTAACCCCGTCCTGGGCCAGGAGAAGGCCACGGCCGTTTTCATCCCAGGTCAGCACCGCTCCTCGCTCCCAGCAGGGCTGGGGGCAGTGGTGTCCCTGAGTGTGCAGGGCCGCTGTCCGGCTGGGCCCCTGACGGGTCTCCGCAGGGCCACAGAGCCCTTCTTCCCGCAGGCCTCTCCCTGGAAGCCAGCGTTCGCTGTGACCATGGTCACGTTGGGTGTCCTGCTGTTCGGGGCTGGATATTTTATTCAGAGAGAACGCGCCACAAAGTTGCAGGAGCGGCAGGAAGGGGAGAGGCTGCGCCGGGAGAAGGAGGAGGACCGGAAGGCAAGGGAGCAGGCGCGGAAGGCAGGCGGTAAGGCAGGACGGCCAGGGCTGGCCAGGGCCGCAGCTCGTGCCCAGATCCGTGGGCAGCTCTAGCGACACCGGGCCCCAGGCTCAGCCAGGTGTCTGAGGAGGTGCAGAGAGGACGGCTGGAGCTGCGGCTCGGTGGCTCTGGGGCAGGCCTTTCCTTAGGACGCAGCAGAGGGTTCCCGTGGGTTCTGCAGGCACGGGCCTCCCTTTCTCAGGGCCGGGAGCTCACGCTTTCTTTCATCTTTCAGATGAACTCCAGGCAGATCTCGGTAAGTTCTACTTTCCCTTTTGCACTCTCTGTGTCCCCTTTGTAAGACACCTTCTGGTTCTTCGCTTACCTGCCTCCTTGTGTTGCCTTTCAGAGAGGAGGAAGGACGCTTACATGGTGGGTGAGTGACTGTCCACATGTCCCTTGGCCCCTTGTCCCACCTACACGCAGGTATGCCCTCTCCTTATTTCTGTCAGGCACAGACATGTGGACCCCGTTCCTGGGGACAGAAGTGGAAGCTGGCAGGAGGTGGAACCCTGCTCATGGGCTCCCCAGGGCTGGGCAGCTGTTTCTTGCCCAGTGCTTGGGAACCCGCGTGGGACGGTGGCCCCTGGAGTCTGTTATGCATCCTGGGGCTGTTCCAACCCTGGCCTGTCCACCGTGTCGTCAGTTTCTTAGTCTTCAGTGCATCTAGCTCTCAGTCGGAACCTGAAAGCCCAAAGCCAGAAGCTCTGATATTTCATGAAATGAGCTATGTAAATAAAGTGGGTCATTAAGTTCAGGGGTGTGACCTCCTGCCTGCCCCTAACCCAAAACACCACGCAGTGGGCGCCGGGGCTCGCGCCTGCAATTCTAGCACTTTGGGAGGATTGCTTGAGGCCAGGAATTGAGACCAGCCTAAGCAGCATAGCAAGGCCCTGTGACAACAAAACACAACACAACACAACACGACACAACACAACACGTCTAGGGAGCCCCCTGTGCAGGTCCTGAAGGTGCTGGTCCGAAAGCAGAGAGGGGAGGATGGGGCGCCGGCCACACGTGGGAGCGAGCGGGGCGAGCCGGCCGCTCCCCTGAAGCTTCTCTCTAGAAACTGACTGTGAAAGGCTGGCCACCTTCGCCCAGATGTCACCTCACATCCTGTGTCAAATCATTCTTCCTTTCTGGTCATTCCCAAATCTGCCAGAAAAAGCCTGGGTATAATAATGCTTTCTCACAATTATGAAGTAATGGAAGCTTTATTCCCTAAATATTTTCACATGTAGTATATAATATTTTATTCGTAGCAGCACAACTGAGCAAAGAATGGGAATTTTTGAGGTCGTTGAGGCACAGACAGCCATTTGACAGCCAAAATCCACACAATAGCTGGACAACGTGCACGCAGCCCGTTGTGCAGGTTCCTGACCCGCGTCCAGGAGTTCCCACTGCACCTGCCGGCAGCCCCTCCCCTACGAGTCCCCCCTTGGGAACAAAGGGCGGCCAGAGCCGGTAGGATCACCCTGCGCAGGCTCGTTCTGGCTGAGGTGTCACCAGGGTGTGTTCCTTTTCAGCCTGGAGGAAGGCCCAGCTGTATGCAGGTAAGCGGCTCTGCTATTTCCTCTACCCGCACCCCCCCCACCCCGTGCTGTCTCCTTTCTGTCAGGGTCCCCACCCAGGATGGGATAGGTGTGCTGCTCTCTGTCAGGGTCCCCACCCAGGATGGGATAAGGTGTCCTCAACCTCTGTCAGGGGTCCCCACCCAGGATGGGATAGGTGTCCTCTCTCTGTCAGGGTCCCCACCCAGGATGGGATAGGTTCCTCTCCTGTGCGAGCCGTCCCCACCCAAGGAAGGGATAGGTCCCCTGGCTCTCTGTTCCGGGTCCCCACCCAGGATGGGATAGGTGTCCTGCTCTCTGTCAGGGTCCCCACCCAGGATGGGATAGGTGTCCTGCTCTCTGTCAGGGTTCCAACGCAGGATGGGATAGGTGTCCTGCTCTCTGTCACCCTGGCAGCCTCCGTGGGAAGACTGCAAGGTCTCCTCCTTGGGAGCGCAGACCTGCCCACTCTGGCCCACCCTCCACGCATGCGCTTACAGCGAGCAACACCCTCTGAACCAAGGTCAACTTCACTTCTCGGTGCGGTGACAGCAGAGTTCAGTTGTGAGCAAAGCTGGAGCAGGGTAACGACTGTGTAGAGCAGGAGTTGCTGGTCTGAAGATTTTAGAAGTCACGCTTGGGTTTCAGGGGTCCGGTCTTCCTTTTCTGCATTCCCCCTTCCCCAAAGTTTCTACGCTTTTTGGTCTGGTTTTGGTTTTCCTGTTTCTTCCTGGTCCTCTGCCTCTGGAATATTGGTCTTCTCTTGGCTTCCTCATGCCCTGACTTGCTGTCTAAGCTAGATATCTTCTTCCAAGCCTCCTTGGGAGCTCAGGAATTAGTTGCTTTAGAGCAAATGTTCTAAATCTGGGGACCAGAGCCCCTAGGATGTTTATGGCCCTGAGGTGGGGTCTGGGAACCACCTGACATTATGTACAAAATTCTGTGTATGTGTTTGTGTTATAGGAACAAAAAAGCAACTTATAATTGTTCACAACCATTTTCTCTTCACTTAGGAGAATCTTGTTTTGCTTGATGGGCTTGGCTTTTGGTTGGGATTTTTAGGGGTAATGTGTGAAGATTTTAAGAGAAGAAAGCTAGGGACGTCAAAGTTGTTTACCCGTGGGAAGCCAATCGGGGAAGAAAAGACCAGGTAGGGAAGAGAGAGGAGACTAGAAGGAAAGGAGAGTGGCCAAGATTGGCTTTTGAGGTTTTGGGTGGCCCAGAGTGGTGGAGGAGACCGGAAATCACAGCCGTGGTGGTCTGAGTTGGGAAGTGTGAAGACTGTTTGCAGGTCACTTGGGTGTATGAAATGTAATTAACTCCCTGAGACCTCGTTGGCAGTTTTCACATTTATTTTGAAGCCATTTTGAAGTAAACACGTGAGTTTGCCTCCAGCTACGAGGCCATCTAGCCTCCTGGCCGCAGCGGAGCAGGAGTATAGCATGGGTCCCAGTGCGATGAAGGGCTGTCCGGAGAGCGCTTAGCGCAGGGGTCTGGGGTCTGAGCCTCTGAGCCTGTGTGACGTGTCCTCCCCTGCCCCGGATGACTCTGCTCACGGTCAGGGGTAGAGACTTGAGACCGAGAGGGTGAGCCACAGCACGCTAGAGCCTGGGGAGCAGGGGCCTGAGGAGCCGCCCAGGGAGTGTGGTTCTCCCTGGATTTTCTTAACAAAGAATGAGGGTCAGAGAGATTTCTTTTACCATCTCCCCCTTCTCTGCTGAATTAGTCTATGTGTTTTAATGTACATCTTACATACACTTTTATTTGGTAATGTTTATCTTTACCCTGGAATCAACATTTCATATTGGCAGGCTGACAGTGTGAGCTGGACAAATGCCTGATCTCATCTTATTCATAAAATTGGAACAATAATCTGTAACCTAAAGGTTTGCTGTGGAAATTAAGTGAAGAATGCATTAGCGTGCACAGCATAGTCCCTGGTACTCTGCAGTCTCATACTCAAATGCCAGATTTCTTTTCTCCTCCTCCTCCCTGTCTTTCTCTTCTCCCACCTCCTCCTCCTCTTTCTTCTTCTTTGGTTATCCGTATCAGTTGTAATAAAGAAAATTATAGTCAAGAATCAACTGATGTCTTGATTAGAAATGAGTAAAGTTCACTTTTTTCAAAGGGTCATCTGGGGTACTCAACTGTTTTATGTGATTCTCTTTCAATTAAGCAATCAATACAGATGGCAATACCGATTGTACCTGGGTAAGTGGCAATGATGGTCACAAATTTACACCATGTGCAAGATAAATGTTTACTTATGGTTTATTGTTCTAATCTTGGTTTCTAAGCCTCCATCCTGTTGGAGGCAAAAGCTCTCCAGTTGAAGACATTTTGGAGTCTTATGACATATGTAGGTTTTGCTTTCTTTGGTGATCTTTCTTCTTCCCCAAAAAGACATTGGAGGAGATTATATGGCTTAGGAGTGTGGGGGGAGGGGACTCTGTCCTTCCCCCTTAGTCATTTCAGGTTCTCACTCTGGGGAGGCTAGTTTGATCTGGTTTATGTTCCTTGAGTTGGTGTCTGCTGAGAAGGGGCAGGTCCCATCTGGCTGGTTGGGGGCATTGTTAGTCCCCCCTCCCCTGACCCTGAGGTGAAGTTCATAGTCTGGGTCACTTGTCTGTGGTTGCAAAATTGATGCACCTTATGGCTTCTTCCTCTTGTCCCCAGGCCTGGTCCAGTGGCTCTCTGGGCATCTCTCTGCCTCTCCACCTTCCAGCAGAGCATGTGAGATTTCCTGGGTCCTCAGCTGTCCATGTGCAGTTGATGGAGAACCTCATCCTCTCTCGACACCTTCCCCTGCTAGTGCCCTATGCCATGGAGGATGTGTTCCATGTTCCCACCCCATGTGGGCTTATTAGCTTTCTCTAACATTTGCTACCATGACAAATCACCACACACTATGTGGCTTAGACCCACACAAACTTATTATCTGACAGCACTGTGGGTCAGAAGTCCAGTAGCGTGTGGACCAGGCTGCGTTCCATTCTGGAGGCTCTTGTCTGTTCCAGCTTCTGGAGGCCATCAGCGTCCCGTGACTTGTGGGCCCATTCTTCCATTTTCAAAACCAGCCACGCACCGTGTCTCTGCCCCTGCTTCTGTGATTACATCTGTTTCTCAGACGACAGCCAAGAAAGGCCTCCGCTTTCAAGGGTTTGTGTGATTAGTTTGGGGTCACTTGGATAATCCGGGATAATCTCCCCATCTCAAGGTCCTTAATCTTACTCACATTTGTAAAGTCCCCCTGGCCATGTATGTAACATATTTACACACTCCAGGGCTTACAGCATGGACATCTTTGGGGGCCTATCATGGCAAGGTTTCTCCTGGGAGCTTTCAACCTTTCAGGCAATTCTTGGGGGAGCCAAATGACCAGATACAGTATGTTTGGGTTCTCCGGTCTACATAGGGATATTTTTGCTTCCGTCAGCCCATGAAGAGGGGAGGAGAGGTCATTTTCCTCTGCCCTCTCACTGGATATATGTGTTTCCTGATTTGAAATTCTTTCTCTCCCATCCTACAAGCCTCTCTATTTCCTCCTACCTGGGCAAGATTTCTCTTATTCTACACCTTGAGTTTCACTCATGGTTTCCAGGCATTTTCCAGGTTCGGTCAGCTAGATGCAGTTCTGTCTCTGCTCACAGTTACAGGCTACCTACCGTGTTTCCCCGAAAATAAGACCTACCCATAAAATAAGTCCTAGCAGGATTTCTAGCATTTGTGCAATGTAAACCCTACCCCGAAAATGAGACCTAGTGATGGGCATGGCTATGCAGTGTATCTGCACAACCCATGCATTTCATCACTGAGTGGTAAGGAAGATGAGCAGCCCTTCTCATCTGCCCCACGAGAGCTCTAGTGCTCAACATCAGAGATTGGGGCCAATGGTTCTACAGGAAATAGAGTCACAAGAAATTCAGGATGGAATTTGGGGTTTGGAGAGTTATGATGATGTTCCAGAAGAAGACGACTTAACTATATTTGAATAAATGGAGATTGTTGTACTGTACTTAAAAAAAATAACACATCCCTGGAAAAGTATCCCTCGGGTGTCTTCTTGAG